CTTCTTCTTCTTCTTCTTCTTGTTCTTCTTGTTCTTCCCTTCTTCTTCTTCCTCTTCTTCTTCTTCTTCTTCTTTTTCTTTTTCTTCTTCTTCTTTTGTACCTTTTATAAAACTTTTTTTCTTTTTTAAGATTTTATTTATTTTCAATTTTTACCTTTTTTGAAAAAAAAATTGTTTCCTAGTAACTTTTTTTTTTTGCCGGTAATGGGGCCTGAACTCTCGGTCTGGGCGCTGTCCCTCAGCTCTTCAGCTCAAGGCTAGCGCTCTACCACTGGAGCCACAGCGCCACTTCCAGCTTTTTCTGTTTATGTGGTGCTGAGGAATCGAACCCAGGGCCTCATGCTGGCAAGGCATGCACTCTACCGCTGAGCTATCTTCCCAGCCCCTCCTAGTAACTTTTTTATCCTCTTATAATTTTGATTTTAGGTGCACATGTGTGTGTGTGCGTTTTTCTTACTTTTTTTTCTTTCTTTTTTTTTAAAAAAAATAATTTGTTTTTTGTTTAGCTCTACTGATCTTCTGATCTTTTTTCTTCTTTCTTATCCTTTTCACGTTTTCTTCTCTTCGTTCTTCTTTATGTGACTTAATTGTTGCTCTGCACATCCTCAAATAAACCCGTAGTTGATTATTAGACCCTATCCCCCATTGTGTACACAGTTAATCCACAAATTTATTACTCAATCCCAAACCTCTGAGACTTAAATTCCTTAATAGCAGTACTACCTCTTTATACTTATATAATATTTTAAGTATTTTTATTTTTAAGTTTTTCACATCTCCTTTATATCCCTCCCCTTCTCCCATTATATTCACGTTCATCTCTGAATTATTTGTTTTCATTTCAGCATAATATGTTTAATTTTTACTTTTCTTTTTTTTTCTGGTCTCTTTTTTTCCCTTTCTCTTTCTTATTTTTTCTCTCTCTCAACATTAATGGCTGGAACAAAATCTTCCAAGCAAACAGCGGGATTTGCAATCCTAATATCAGATAAAATAGACTTCAAATTAAAATTCATGAGAAGAGAGAAAGAAGGTCATTACATACTGATTAAGGGATCTCTCCTTCAGGAGGATATTACAATTCTAAATATCCATTCGCCAAACAACGGAGCACCCAAATTTATCCAAGAAAAACTACTTTCCCTCAAATCCCACATAGATCCAAAAACATTAATTGTTGGGGATTTTTACATACCACTCTCCCCACTAGATAGATCAATTTGGCAAAACTCAACAGAGAAACCGCAGATCTAAACAGCTGCATAGATCAACTAGATTTAACAGACATCTATCGAATATTTCACCAAACACATCAGAATACACGTTTTTCTCAGCAGCACATCGAACATTTTCTATAATAGACCACATTTTAGGCCACAAAGCAAACTTGTCTAAATTCAGAAACATTGAAGTTATACCCTGCATTCTCTCTGACCACAAGGGAATAAAATTATAACTCAACACCAAAAGCCACGACATGGAGGCTGAACAGCACACTGCTGAATCATGAGTGGGTCATGGAAGAGATTAGAAAGGAAATTCAAATGTTCATGCTATTCAACAAAAATGAGCACACATATTACCAGCTCCTCTGGGATACAGCAAAGGCAGTGCTCAAAGGCAAGTTTATATCTCTGAGTTCCTACATCAACAAATTGGAGAGATCTGAAACAAACAATTTAATGACACATCTAAACCTCCTTGAAAAAGAGCAGCAAGATAAACTCCAATCCAGTAGAAGAAAGATATAATTAAACTTAAATCAGAATTAAATGAATAGAATCCAAAAAAAAACTATAGAAAGAATCAACAAAACAAAGAGTTGGTTCTTTGAAAAAATTAACAAAATTGACAGATCCTTATCAAATATTATCAGAAAAAGAAGAGAACACACCCATATAAATAAACTTAGAGATGAAAATGGAAAGATCACCACAGAAACGACCAAGAATCAGAACATTTTAAGGGAATACTTCTCAAAACTTTATGCTAATAAGTTTGAGAACTTGGCAGAAATGGATCTTTTCCTAGCAAATATTAACATGCCAAAACTAAACCAAGATGAGTTAAACTATCTTAACAGGCCCATATCAAGCACTGAAATAGAAACAGCAATAAAAGACCTCCCAACTAAGAAAAGTCCAGGACCAGATGGTTTTACAGCAGAATTCTACAAGGCCTTC